ATCTTTTTTGTTTTGCATTGCTCTGTGCTGGTGGCGCTGTGGGGCTCTGAAACAATTCGTGTCCCTGGCTCTAAAGGGGGAGGGGGCCGGGGGGAGAAAGGTGGGGCACGGGTTGATCTATTGTATCTTTTCCTTTTCTGTGTATCAAAAGTAACTGCAAATTAGTTAGAATGACGATGAAATTGTATCTCTGGAAAATGGTAGTGTCGCATGAACTATGGCCCGGCAGAGGCATGACCTCACCCTTTCGCTGGTTTGTGTAATGAAGCAGATCCTTAATTTTTTATTTTTTTTTCCCCAATCCTGTACCTAGAGTCCCGTTTTCTTCAGTGATGAGATTTTCGGTCCCACCCCCAAAATTATTTTATACTGGCTGCAGATGGAAGRTTTTTAAATTATTTTTTGCAGCCAATATGGAAGGCTTTGGCACACACTTATTGTGCAACTAGTCCATTGTTTGCTTGTTGTGAAGTTAAAGGTTCCATCCACGGCTKGTTATCAAGCCCTAAGGTCCCCCTTATTCTTGTGCTTGCATATGCAAATYTTCTGATAAGGTCTGTAGGAGTCTGGTTTGTGTATGAAGGTGGGGTTGAAAAGAAGGGAAAACCTAATGTAATCCTTCGAATTGTAAGAGGATTCACCTGAGGTGGGTGGGTTTTTTCTTTCCTGTTGCTAAGTGGAGCATGCATTTTACATGTATTTATAAATAGATATATGTTAATGTGTGTTGTTTTCTTTTGTTACAACCTACAGATCACCTCGATTCTAATTGCAAAAGGATTAGAAGGCTTTCTGCTAACATCCATATTAGGTGTAAGAAAACAGAAGTGATTAATGTACTAAGATGGGTGGGAAGACATAGTCAAACCCATGATCAGAGCAAATATTGGAAACTCAACAGGTTCAGGAACAAATTTGACATTAAMTTTAACACAACTTTAAGAAATTCAGTRTGCCTGTTATTTTGGAGTGATAAAAGCTGATAATTTTAAAAGCCTTTGCATCTRTTTTACATTTCAATGTCTTCAGTATTTTCAAAGAATAAATTTGACAAATACTCAGCAGTTCGAAACACTCTCTAAACTTCTCATGAAYGTTAAATCTTCAAAAATGCATTTAGATTTTGTTTAAAAAGAAAGCTTGCTCATTAAGTTAATTAGTTTTATGGAAAATGTTATACAACTTCAGTAGATCTCTATAATSGTCTCTTTATTTTTTATCTTTTTTGAAGGAAGGTAAATTTTGCTTCTGTCTTAGGTAAAATACATCTTGCAGCCTTCTTCCAGTAACAAACATATATCCAAGAGAGCAGTCAGCTTTTATCATCTCTGCTCTGTCAGACAGATCTGTTTTTATGGATTCTTGGCTGGAGCAAAGACCTGGTGGCCAATGACAATGCAACATGACCATTGTTTCTTTGGTATCCTGGTACAACTCTTAGATCTTGAGGACAAGTGTCAAGATATGAACCCTCTTAAGAAGTGTGGATTTTGGCCATTCTCCATTTCTATTTCTGACATCTGGTCATGAAGACRTAAGGTTGGCATTTTGGGCACAGTTTATGCCAATAGAAGTAGTGCCAGTTGTTGTTGAATCTATTACAATAATCATAAATCTTAGAGAATCACTGGTTATTTGATTCTGATGCAACTTTTCTTTTTTGACATAATTTAGACCAATGTTCAATGTGCTCATCCATGGAAAACAGTACTGAGCAAATGATAAACTGAGGTACTTACTGAAGGTATTTTCATGCTCCTCTTGTCATCCCACACCATTAAAGTGATGCTATCTTGTGGCTGTGCATGCAGGTCATGAACTGTCGTGATCTTGCTGCTCAGAGTCAGTTCAAGTTCAGTGAAGTCAGCAAGAAAATGAAATCTCAATAGAAAGTCCCTCCACACTTTCTCCCTTCTCTCCCATTCAACTGGGGTTACTCTTTAATGTTTTGCAACTTTGAAGCTGCATCTGATGAACATTTCTGTTTTTACTTCTATCAAATCATAAGGTGAGAAGAGCAAAGTGCTTATCTTCTGTAATTCAGTGGTTTTCTCACTTATCTCCTCCTTCCTTTCTGAATCATTGTGTTGCCAATAAGGAGTAAGACGTGATTTAAGATTTCACATCCTCTCGAAGCTAAATAGCAACTAATTTATCCCCTGCATCATCTTCAGATATGCCTGGAAAAGTTATTCAATCTTTATTGTGTTTTCCCTACCTGCTCCTTCTGAAATACCTGTATGTGGAATTCCAGGACTTAAAGCACAGAACTACTTTTTTTTTTTTTGATGGGTTTAATTTTCTCCCTTATATATCCCTCCATTTCTAAGGTGGCAAAACAAATGTATTTTTCTCCTAATACAGTTTCCCTTTCACTTAGAAAGTCTATATAGACTCCAGACACCTTTCAAAGATATTTGCGTCTCTTGGCTTAAAACTATTTGAAGTACGGCATCCTACTGCAAACCAATCTTTTTCAAGAGCTTAACTCAACCTGACTGACCAAAATGTTCTATGTGCCTTTGTAACACTCCTCTTACTGATATTATTACTACTTTTATATAATCAAGTAAGAGTCATGGTAAAAATGGCTGTCTCAAATTGTCATAGTAATGCAAGATGTGTAGATCCCAGGAAGATAAAATCAACTTTCAAAGTTAACCAAAATATGATGAAAACAGTTCCTCAGAAGTGGGTGGTATAGAAGAACATTGTTTGGGGCTCAGTTCAAACAAAAGCCACACCCCGTTTCACTCATATGTTGCGCTTTCCAGTTTCCTATGCTGATAGCATACGTTGGTGCCTGGGACTTCTGTCTGTTACCTTTTAAAGGTTCTAAAGTATTCATTGTGTCCTTGATTCAACAAGATTTCATGGGTGGGAGGACTATCTTGTCTGGCATCTTGTGACATAGTCTTGTTCTCACCTTTCTTATTTCATGACTTTGCTAGCTTTATTTCACATCATACTTGTCATCTTGTAGCAATGAATGATTATTTTAAAACTTACTTCAAGGATCACCTGTTTCCCAGCTCTGGACAAAGGCTCAAATCTTATAGAAAGTTAGGTCTCTCCACACCTCTTCCAGAATGATATCTGCATGACCGTTCAGCAGTTTGAAACAATCTGCTCTATCTCCTTTATGCCAGAGGAACTGCTATAACCTATCTTTCCACCTATTAACATTCTTCATATCTTTCCCCTCATCACAAGAAGTTAATTCATGTTGCAGTGAAGAGGTAATCCTAGATTTTAAATTCTTTAGTAAATATACAGGGTGGGGGAATGTCAGTGCTTGAAATAGAATTCCTGTCTTGCTGTTGTGAGCAACAAAATATGCCTTGGACAGATGAGATCACCCACTCAGTGGCTTCACATCCTGTGGGCTTCTTTAGACTAAATCACATTTCCAGTGTAGTGTGTTACTACTGGAGTGTCCGGGACCAAGCCAATACCAATACTRCAAGCTTCCTTAATAGGAAGGTTTGTCCATCAGTTCTCTACTGACAATAGCTAAAGCCTAAAACTGGTGGTCAGAAGGTACTGCAGTGCTTAAAAAGTCAGAACATTTGCTAAAAAATACTCTTTCTGCTTATCTTCCAGTATAAACAACAGAGAGATGGGAACTGCCAAATAACATGTGAGTCCTAGCCTKCACTACATGTGCAGGGAGTTGGGATGCTGCTCTGGAGCTCCTGGATGGTAAATGGAAAGCTGTTCAGAGCCATCCTACACCATATAACAGAARACAGTAGTTACAGATGTAATGTCTATTGCCTTTGAGCACCAGTRAAAATAGCAAGAGCTTAAACATACTCCATGGGAATTCCAACTTGGAGCAAATGATATTGGACTGAAAATGGTGAGATGATGACTCTCCACCTTCAGTTCTTGAAGAGAACTTGGATCACTTTTGCTAGGGAACAGGAAAAGGATGAGTTAGATTTTACAATGCATTGAGCACTAGGATTTCCAGAGGAAGAGGGAAAAGGTGGGATCTCATCCCTGCATCCAGAACTGCCTCACAGATTTTATTCAATAATGTTTAAATGTAAAATGTAGGAATTCCAAGGAACAGCGAATAGATTTGTTCTTCCTGGAACAGTCTTCTTTTTATCAGGTTCCATTTTGGTTTTTCTCTGGGACAAGTGCATGGTTAGAGATCTGGGAAATGGGCCTGTAAGGTGGCATTAACTTGTGCTTCCCTGGATTTCCASGAAGTTGTGCTTCTGAGCAAATTGGAATCCCTGTACCATATACATTATTGTTAATGTAGAACAACTTTCACTTGCCTTTAGACAAGTATTGTTAAATCTGTAATCCTCAGTGGAAAGAAACAGATAAAGTAAATTACAGCTTTCAAAAACAAACAACAAAAGGAGCCCAATAACAGCAAAACCACAAACAAACAAACGCTATCAAATTTTGGATTTCTGCTGTGATAAGAACTGTATTTTAAACTTAACTGAGTATCCTGATCAGGTCTCCATCTGCCTCCTGTGACTAGTTCAGATGTGAATGTCCTCAATCAGACATATCCCATGCCCCTGCATTTGCTAATACTGACCTGTGCATGATTTAGGTAATGAAAAGTTAGATCTTAATCCTCACTCCCCTTCAGAGCAATGAGATAATTGCTAAATGGGAACAAGACCTCTGGCCTCATAGAGGTGTGTTTGCAGTATTCATTAGCACAAATAAGAGTGAGCTTTCCATGTTTGTTCAAACAAACTAAAAAATCAGGTGACTCAGATCTGGGGATTTCAGGATTATGGGTATCCCTTAGGTCCTGTATCTATTTGGTATAGAATCTTGGTGCTGTCATAACCTGATGACTAAGAGGATAATTTCTTGAAAGAGTCCTTTTACCTCATAGATCTTCATCTGTAATGCCAGGGGTAGACAGGGCATGTTAAATCCATCCAGGGATGGATTTATTCACAGCTTTTTTCTCAAGAAAGTTTAAAATTTAATTTAAGATGTTATAATGCAGAACAGCTATATTATTTCTGATGGACTTAAAGGTATCCACACAAAGCAAAACATCTTGATGTCTTTAAACAAAGTGATTGTGTGTTCACAATTCAAGAAAAGTGCTATAATCAACATCTTTTAAAGAGAAACCATGCTGGATAACAGAGGGGCACAATGTACATCTGATGATTCTGCATAGACCCTTTCTATTTAGCCCATGTTCATCTACAAACACAAAATGAATGAAGATTCCATAAGAAAGAATTCTGATTTCTTTTATCACCTCTGAATCAATTTCCAAGTTAAATAATGGGTGTTGTGGGAATCTGTGGGATTTGGAAATTCTAGTCAAGCAGACTTCCAGATGATCTACTTTAACATGAGAAACAGTTTTCCTTCCTATCTTTCATATTCTCCCTTGATATTTTTTCTTTTAATTAGGTTGTGTCTCTTTATGCTAACACCTTCCTTGAGTTGTCTGTAAATCAGAAGTTCAGCAGACTTTACAYGTGTGGCCAGTAGCAGGCTGGTGCACATTAACCCCAGTTAATGACAGAGGTCTGYTGTGTTCTCTTGATCAGAGGAGCAGAATGTCAAAACAGCTGTAAAACTGACACATTGCTCAATAAGAGAATGAGAATAGAGAGTCTTTATCCAAGATGGATGAGGGGGTTAAAGTCTTACCTGCTTGTAATCCAAATGATTGGAGAATATCACTTTCCATTTGGCTGTGTATCTCAGGTTGCCCCTACAGCAGATTTCACAGGGGACGTGAGGAGAAAATGCCAATGATATCATAGCACCTCAGGCTTCCATAYCCCACCTACATTAGTGACAGAGAAAATAATGTGATTTCTCTATTTTTCTTCTCACAGCAACTTCATGTTTGCATCTAAACCAAAACACTTCCCTCTCAACATCTGCCCATCTCCCACAAGTTGTTAGCATTCTCTAAATGTTGAAAAACTACAGAAAATGTATTTTCTTCAGGTTAACCCTACCAAGAGTTTTACATTTTTATGTCTCTGCCATAATTTAAAGATATACAGATAAAGATATTTCAAAAGAGTTTTATCTGAGCAGTTTTATATTCAGAACTAGCCTCCTCTGCTGGATATTTACAGCCTAACTTAATTCATTAGGCCTTTTTTCCACTAATGCAGCATTATTAATTTATGTTTTCTAAAGTATATATATAAACATTCAGTTATAAATATGATTATTTGTATCCCAGAAGACAAGCAATATTTTTGAAACATTCACTCAGGCTTAATTTAGTATAAATCAAGCTACAATGTGTAAAAAATCCACTTCTAAAATTGAAAGAATATTTGTGTTCTTRCAAACTAATAACAACCAGCTTTGGAAATCCAAAAGCTGAGTTATTTGCATTTTTTTTTCATTTCTTTGGAGAAATGTATTTATGTTAAGTAAAGGTGGTATAGCCTGTATAAGGTATATATTAATACATTTGTATTAATTTTATGTAGAATTCAGAGTTCACTTACACTGTAGGTATGYAGGTAGATCCCACTAACATGAAAATTAAAAAATCAAAACATATATATTAGGAAATACCTTTCATCCAAGATGCAAATATACTTTCCTGCATCAAAAGATTTCTGAAGCTGAGCTCATTCCTATCTAGGTATAAGTCAATGATTTCCTCAAYTGTCTGAGGGAAACAGATAACTTACTTTCATTCTGATTCAGGAACTGCAATTTAAAGCATTTGGCTTTATATAGTAAATCCACATTAACTTAACTCCACAATATTTAACATCAGCAACATAATTCTGATGTTCTGAAAATACTTGATCATACTAATGAGAAGCCTTGAARCACTTAAAACAATTTTCCACAGACTGACTGACAAGACAGGATTTCTGTCTTGGGAGTGTAAGGTAAAAATCTAAAAAGTTAGAACGTATAATAGTAAGACATTCAGGTCTTACTATTGGACTGAATTTGCTATTTTATTTGCATTTACATAGAACCATGCAACTACGAGGGTAGAAATAAAGCTTCTGAAGTCATGCAAAGGCACAGATCCTGTCCTGAGTTCACCCCTTTATCCCAGGTTGGGGTGTGAGGGCTGGCAGTTGAAGTTTATGTAGTTGTGCCATGTGTGTATTTGTGGTGGGGATTTTTTTTGGTTTTCACTTAATGGTCAATTGAAGGATTTGGGACAGTGTGCAGACCCATGTACTGCTATAATTTCTCTACTTCTGTTTTCCATTTTTAGCCTTCTACCTTAGACCATGCAGAATATCAAAGCTGGATTCCTTTGCTCTTTGATGAATTAGCAATTGTCTTGGCAATGGAAGGTTGGGCTTTTTTATTAGGTTGTTTGGTTTTGTTGTTTTTTTTTTTTTAATTGGTTGTGGTTTTTCTTGCTTTTTTGTTTTGTTTGTTTGCTTGGGTTTTTTGTTGTTTGTGTTGGGGTTTTTGCAAGAAAAACCCTTCTGCTGGCTCTTCTAGTAGAAATAATACAGAATCATGTGATTAAATTTACTTGACTCAGAAATTATGCATGTGTTATAATCTGATGTTTGCAGAAGTCCATGCCTAAGTAAGAGGCGGTAACCAGTCCGCCCRGCTCGGATTGTGTTTTCCTAAAAAATTGTGATTTTAGCATTACTCCTGTTTAGTATGTCAGAACACAAAATGGTTTTGATAAAGATTAAAAAAAAAAAAAAGATCATAAAGTCAGACATTTTTTGATTTTGTTTTGTCCCTCTTTATCGTACTATTTAATCCTAAAAGATTAATTTGTGAAATGAGTTGCTGATAAAGATGACTAAATCAAGACTTCAAGGTATGTCTAGCATAGTATTCTAGAGGGGATATGTATTATAGAATGAAAACATGAAGGAGAAACTCATAAATCACTWTTAACCTTTACAGTTCTTAGGATAACTGTTCCGAGTCCATTAAAATTTACCCAGGGAAAGATGTATTTCAAGACAAAAGAGTCTCAGCATAATTTGTGTCTTTTCACCACCACCGTCTCTAAGAGAATAACTGCTTCCACTGTAACATGTTTTCCCTAGACACATAAAAACTTAAATCTTTGAATCAAGCTATGCAAAGGAAGTTGATTCTTTTCTGACAGTACCAAAAAAACTCCACCAAATCCTTTATGCTTTCAGATAGAGCCCATTTKACCATTTGCTTGCCTATCTGTCCAGGTCATGTAGGGACAAATGCTGAGTCTGTAAAATAATTATCCTAAATCACCATTAATTCTTCTTGAAGTCTTGTAGTCCTCCTATGACTACAACTGCCTCGACCACCTCTAAGGGTTAAGCTGTTATTGGAAAAGTAGGAATCTGGCAATAGCTTTTGCTTCTCCTCTCTTAGCTTTGTCTCTTCTCAGTGAGAAAATTGATGGCTAGTGGCTTTTCCTTATCTTCTGGATATCRCTACATGGCATATCCATTTGAGGATTATTTTAGTTTCCCTGAGGATGCTGGACTCAACTTTTGAGTATTTATGACTGACAACACATCCTCAAAGATTACACCATTAAATTGGCTTCTGGCTCTTTTCACTCATGGAAAAATGTTGCCTGTTGTACCTCCAAATTTAAAACTTTGTTGGCAGTTTTGGAATCTAAAGWATGACTACGTACATTCTGTTGAATGGTAAACTAAATAGGTTATTAAATGCGGTATTATCCCTTCTCCACCTCTATTTGGTATTCTGCAGTCCAAACCAGAAGAGCTCACAAAAAATAAAAGGTGACTGAAAGATCTGGCCATACAGTACGTATTCCTGCTTGCTCACTAAAATTTWTATATATATATATRT